TATACTGTGGCTGTGAAATATACTTCTGGCAAACCAATCACCAGATATCCTATTACGAATAACCTGTTGCTATAACAACAGATAATAGGATTAGACTTGAAAGACTGGCAAAGATTCACAACAAATTTAATAACTGAATCTCATTCTTAGCAATTGGAACCTGTTTCATTAGAGGTTTGTTTCTGTTCCTTCTGAAGCCAGTAGCAACACTCAATGTTGTTCTATTAGAAACATGGTTGTGCCTTTCAGATTCCATCTTAAGATGTGAATTTTCCAAATTCAAAGTGTATAAAATTCCTGGACCAGATTCCCTTAATAATTTTGGTATTAGGATGCAGGCAGCTGCCAACATGCAGCAGCAAACTGGGGTTCACCAGCTGACTGACTATGGCTGTCCCTTTCCTTCAGACATAACCAACCTGGGAATATAAGATTAAGATCTGCTTCTAGCAAATCCTTCCTGAAGCAGCAGCCTGTTGAAGTCCATTACAATCTTTTGCACTCTAGGGCTTGCACTTTGCACTTTATGGCATGTTCAAAGAGGATGATTAGCTCCCAGCTGTACAGAGAGGACCATCAAATTGCCAGGAGGCATAAAAACCTTGATTTTCTGCCCTTTTCCTATTCCAACAAAAATTACTTATTCTCAAAAACACCTTCAAGCAGATCTTTCTGAAGAAAAAAAAAAAAAAAAAGGCAATTCCTAGAATAAATCCTATTACCACATCTCTTAACCCTCTCTGACGCAAGCTGCTGTGTCCAGTGCTTGCACACTACTAATTCTTTCCAGTACTGCAAATGGTTATATAAAGGTATCATTGCTCATGCTCTGAACATATATCGCTAAGTTTTTCCTGGGTAACAGGAGAGTGAACTCTACTTCTGAGGTACTTGCCCCTGCAGCTCTTGTTCAATTAGATGTGCTTCAGCTGTGTAAAATAATCCCATAGACACGTAAAAGGATATATAGGGTAGATTTTCTAAATCAGACTGACTATTCTTAAAGACAGAACCATCTAGCACCTCAGTTGTACAAAGAGACAGACAACACTGGAGATAACTCTCAGTATTTCTTCTCACTAGAGCTCCCCAACATTCCCCAGCAAAATCAACACGGAAAAGCATTGCTTGCCCAGAGTTCAAATTAACAACCTGCATGCTTTCAAAATGCATGAGCTATTTCACTCTGGAAGAACTGGCACCTGAACGTCAGCTGTTACATTATTACATGAAACAATATGATCTTGTCTGAAGAGTCAAGAACTGCTTGTTAATAATTTGGTTCAGGTGGATTAAAATGACCTAAAAGTAATGTGGAAAAATATTCTGCATGGCTTAGAATTTTAAAAGAATGTTGCAGGGTCACTGAGACATTATGTGCCAGTGTCACTTGCTGTGGCTTCCAATAATTTAAAGTACACAATTTTAACAAATAAATGTCTGCACATAATTCTCCTTTACCCCATACTCTTTTCCTTACCTCTGCTCAAACAGTCTTTTTTTCCGCTTTCTTCAGAACTTACCATAAGCACGTCCCACTCACTTTTTCTTTCACGCAAATACACACACACAATAGCTGTTCTTTGTGTTTCGTTTGTTTCTTCCTTGTCCCCTTGCAAGCCCTCAGGCACTCTCATAGACCTCTTCCTCTCTCACACACAAATCTTTTTTCTTTCTCTTACACACATGTACCAAAGCCAGAAACATACCCACCAGATAGATCTAACAAAATTTGGCTATGGTTTTAACTGCACTTATGAGTCAACTGCTTTTTCAATCTTTTTTCTGTGATTTTCATTTGGGACATTTGGGAATCCCAGGTAAATGAGCACTGTTCTTGTTCACTGCAGGCACTGACAGCAACTGGCAGATGCCTTGAATTCACAAGTGCAGACTGATTCCACACTGTGCACACATATCAGCTGCAGGTGGAACACATCAGAGTCATGGTGCAGATCCCAGAGCACTGGACTCATGGCACATGTACTGATTGTGACTCTGGTGAGAAACAAGAACAATACTGGAAATGTAATGTGGTATAGATGGCTCCACGCAAGTATAACCTGGGTGTCCCAGTAGTGCACAGCTGGAACTGGACATGCAGCGTACGATGGTGTGGCTCTACCCAGAACCAGACAGGTCCACTTAAAATATAATTAGCTCAGGCTCGATTCTGGCATTGCTAGTGACAATGCTGGTAGTGGGAAGAGAATGACAGGGCGTTTACAGTCCTAGAAGGACAGAGGCAGGGTGGAGCACAGGCACAAAACCAGCAAAAGAAGCTGGGGAGCATCAGCACCAGGGCTAGAGCCAGGAGTGGGGTGCTGTGAGCAGGTTTAGTAACTCAGCTGCAGAGCCAGTTGGGTTCTGTATTGCACTGAGCTAATTAGTCCCCACCCTCAGAGCCAGTGCCTTGCACTTCCTGCAGTGCTCCCTTCATGCTGCTGGATGACTCTGTACCACATTCTCCAGCACATCACAGATTACCCAGGTCAGCATTATGCAAAATATGACATCTCCCCTTCTTTGGATGGCAGAGAGCTGACTGAAAATCTCTATTTTTATAAAAACATGCTTTTCCTTGACATGCTCTCTTTGTCACTAAAACAGAATTCTCAGTGACTACATTTTTAAGATTTGTCCAGGATTTCTGGACGTGAACTGTCATGTCAGCTTGGATGTGACCATGTTTCACTAGATTTGCTGAGGCTGCTGTACACCCAGACATCCTACATATTCTCATAGCAGAGCTACAGACATTGTGGCTCTGCAGCACAGGAATTTTGAGAAGCACTGCATTTTCTAGACATGCAGGACAACTGTTGCTGTACAGCTGCATCATGGGTCTAACATCTCCAGCAGAATCTGTTTGATGGGCATATGCATATGTGACAAATAGCTGATTTGTAACAAGCAGCAATAATAAAGCAGCTCAGAAGCACTGAGTTTACTACAGTTGTGCACTGGGCTTACTATTTTAAAGCTGCAACATGCAGTAGATCAGATACTTTGTGGAAATATGAGACTTATTTCCACATGTTACGGAATGCATGTAAACATAGTCCTCCCTGAAAAACTTTGGAAAGAAATATGGTAGTATTTAGAAAAGCAGCTTTATGCAAGTTCTCAGAATAGAATAGTGTTGCCAATTCAGCAGGCTGCTTATGCTAATAATTTATGCAAACATAACACATGTGGTTTTATGTTCCTGAGAAAGCCAAGGGTCCCAGTCCTCATCCAGCTGCAGCTGACTCTATAGATTCAGCTGTCAAATTGTTAAGAACACCACTCTAGGCCATCCCTCAAGCTACAACAAGGCCAGCTCCAGCTAGTTTTACCATGCCACATCAATATTCTGCCGTCTTCTTCTAGACTCTGTCAAACCACCCCCTGTTGGAGATGAAAACCTATTAAATCCAGTGGACTCATACAACTTATTTTTCTTTCTGCTAAAAAATAAAAAATAAATTAAAAAATATCCCTTTCTAACTGCATGTTTCTGCTATGGAAACACCTCCACCATCCATAACTAAATTACTGACTGTAGCATTTTAATGCTGAACATGTGCCATCTGCTGCTTCAAGTTAAGAAAGACCTAGACAAAGATACGACTCACCATCTCATTCTCCTCTCCCTGGTTAAGCTGTGCATAATGGCTCTTGGCAGGATTCTCCCCCATGAAATGACCCTCTGGAGACTTTCTACAGCACCCTCAGGACAGGTCTTCAGCGTTGTGTGGCTTGAACTTCCACACTGAGGAAGTGCTCTAAGTACACACCTTTCTTATAACTTTGCTGATGTTTGAAGAATGGAGCTCCTCCCTCTCTGTGGGGTTAGCAGGTAACATTCATCCCTCCTCCCCTCATTCTGCTGCTGTTTTTTTTTAGATTGAGGGGACATCTTCAAACAAAACTCACTCAAAGGCACTGGGAGAAAGAAAAAATTACATCTAACACGTTTTTGCCACAGTATGACTCCTAGTCATAACTCTGATAGTTCAGCAAGTGCTGCTGGCATCCAACTTTCAGGGGAGGGCAAGAGGGGAGTATTTCTCCTCGAGAGATTATGGAGTCACTGGGAACTAAGAAGTGTGTCCAAATGAGAAGGAAAACAGGCATTGCTGTTGTTATACTCTTAGCAACCAGCCTGAACTAAGCATCCAGCTGTGATCCCCTCATATTCCTTGGAGAAAAATTCAAGCTCTAGCATTGCAAACAGCAGCCTCGGTTTGTGCAGGTGGATTTATGCACTCACTGTGTCAGAATCAAGCCATGTAGGGTCTGTAATGTTTTTGTTCATTATTAAGAATATTGTCACAGAATGTCTTCTGACTTCACTAAAGAGCTTTGGGGGAGGTAATTAAAGTTATTTACTCACTCTTCAAGGAAACTGGAGCTTCAGGGAAACTGATGTCAGTGAGATGGATACAAATAACTCTGACCTCCAAATCAGGACCAAAAGGAAGTTGGCAGAAAAAAAAACAGCAATCAGAAAATCACCTCATTTTTCACTAGTATGGGCTGAATTGTTTATTAGTTTTGTCATTCATTCCCAGTACTACTTCCTTGTCTGTTGCTACTTTTCAAGAAGTACCCATCAAATATTGTAGGAATGAGGCAAGGAGAGCCAAACCTGTTCTTCCAGAAAATATGTTAAGGAAACTAAAATATTATTTCTAGAGTGACTAAAACAGATCAAGAGGTGCCAAGTTAGTTCCTCTTCACCAGTACTTTATTTCCATGGGGCACGGGCTTGTACTGGTTCCAAACACCTCAAAAGTACCATTGAAGGCCAGTGCCTGTCTCATGCAATGGCCAGATAAACTGAAATGGGAGAAATGCAGGGAAGAGAGAAGAGAAAAGGGGGGAACTAGACCAATTAACACAAGAGAAGCTGCCAATTTCACTTTGTTCTTTTGAGACTCAGCAACAGGAACTACAGTTATTACATGAGAATCAAAATCTTCATTTACAAATTAAAAAGAAAGAATGCAATACAGTCCATTTCTGATATACCTGTTTATTGGGATCAGTGCTACCTAAAAGTTACAAAGGACAGGAAACAACCACCAAGGTACCTTTCCCAAAGCAGGTTGATGATTTTGGGAAATGACTCATTATTTTGGGAGGTGACAGCAGCAGAAAACAGGAGTGCCACACACACTTTTTCTGCCTGGTCAGCTTTTGCTGCATCTGCAAATGTCAATCTTACTACTTGTAGTGTTTGTAGAAGGCTAGGGAGCAGTAGGGGTCACTGAGCTGCCCTTTCAAGGAGAAGAGAGGTGAGTTGCATGCAGGGTATCCCACCAAACCCGGAGCTCCTGGGAAGAATCAGGACTCATCCAATCTATTCACTGTTTACAGGCAGAGTCCAGCTCCTGATGACAATTTCTGCTCCTACAGAACACCTTTTCTTGGGAGACTTGGTTGTTCAAAACTGAAAACAAAGGGAAAACAGATTAAAGGTGTAAAACATTCATAATTTCCATAAATTGGAAGCCTGTCATAACATTCCAGTAAAATCTGTTAATCTAGAACCCATGAAGATTGTGGAATTTGTGCATTTTACTTAAGGAGATTCATTTTCTGATGTAGAAAATGCCTCTAAAGCACCCTAAAGTGCTTTTTAAAGTGCATTTAACCTTTAGTTAAATGATGCCCTCTACTGTTAAAACGAAGCATTACAGATTAGGTTAGAAATACAAAGTTCCTTGTATTATCTCCTACAGATGGTTATCATCATTCCTCTTTTTAAATTGAAATTTGCCTAAAAACACAGATGAAAGTCATAAAGTTGATTGGTCAAGTTAAAATGCAAAAGTAAAGATAAGATTTAAAACAAAGACTATGCCTTAAAAGTTAAAAAGAAAACAATAAACCTAAAAGCAAGCAAGCAAGAGATACGTGTGCCTCACCTCGTTCTTGCACCTTTAACCTCAGTCCTGAAAATGCATCCATGTTTCATGTCATCCTTTGCCAATCTTGTGCAATTTAATTTGCTCTGAAAAAAATCCCACCGTATAAACAGCATCCCGACTTAAAAGACACCCCAAATTTGTCTGTCTGCACAGTCCTGCAGCAACAAGGGTGCAGCACGGTGCCCAGAGACAGCACAGAGAAGGGAGAGGAATGAGGAAACGTGGTCTGCGGGGAAGGGGGGGCTGGTTAAGCTGGGGAAAAGACGACTTTGAGAAGTCACGAGGAGTTTTCAAACATGTCCTAGCTGCAAATAGGAAGAATCATGGAATCATTGGGGTTGGAAAAGACCTCCGAGATCACCTGGTCCAAGCACACAGCACCATCACCACTGAGCCCTGTCCCCAAGCACCACATCCAGCCTTTCCTTGAGCACCCCCAGGGACGGTGACACCACCACCTCCCTGGGCAACCCGTCCCAGTGCCTGACTGCTCTTTCTGAGCAGAAACGTCTCTGAATTTCCACCCTGAACCTCCCCTGGCACAACTTGACAATAATTTTCCTCCTGTCCAAGCTGAGTTGCTGCAAGAAGGGCTCAAACCAGGCGCTGGGTGCAAGCCCGGAGGTCCCCACGGGCAGCCTGGGCACGCACCCCTCAGACCCAGCCTGACGGCGGGAGCCCGTGGGCAGACAGAGGGGCAGAACCCCAAATCCCTGCTGCTGCCGCTGCTTCTTCTTCCTCCTCCTCCTCCTCCTTTCTCTCCTCCTCCTCCCCCGGAACCTTCGTTCAGGCGGCTCCGTTTCTGGCCGTGCTCTCCGCAGCGGGGCCGCGGGGCCGGAAGCGGCGGCGGCCCTGGCAGGCCGGCGGCGGCTCCACCTGCCCTTGGCCGCGGCGGCCCCGAGGGCGCCCGGCCTCGGCCTCCTCCTCTTCGGCCTCCTCCTCCTCCTCCTCGGCACCCCCCGGCCCTCAGCATGTGGCGGACACGGGCGGCGGCGGCTTGGTGAGCGCCACGGGGCAGGGCGGTCGCCGCCGCCTCCTCCTCCTCCTTCTCCTCCTCCTCCCTTCGGCCACGGCGGAGCCGCGGCCCCACGATCGTGCCCCGAGGCCTGGGGAGGGGCTGAGGCCGGGAACGGGGCTCCACGAGCCGGAGGGGGGAGGCCTGGTCCCTCTTAGGGTGCCCCTTCCTTCGGGGTGTCAGTGCTGAGGGAGGGAGGGCAGCGCCTGCCTGCTGCTGGGGAATGCTCCAGGGGCTGGGGGTCGGCCTCTGCTCACAGATAGCACAGATAGGACCAGAGGGAATGGCCTCAAGTTGCAGAAGAAGAAGGCTCAGGTTGGAAATTACGAGACGTTTCTGCTCAGAAAGTAGTCACCGGGACGGGCTGCCCAGCAATGTGGTGGCATCGCCGTCCCTGGGGGTGTTCAAGGCAAGGTTGGACGTGGTGCTTAGGGACAGGGCTTAGAGGGTGATGGTGGTGGTAGGGGGGTGGTTGGAGCAGGTGATCTTGGAGGGCTCTCCCAACCTTTATGATTCTTTGGAAGATTGTTTCATGGTTATAGTTAACAGAAGTATTTATAGCATGTCTTCATGAAAAGTTTGTCCCAGCTGAGGGGGGATTTTTTTGAACTGTTAAACTGTAACAATATGCATAAGATATTAGGTATGCTTCGGCATCCTAGCATATATCCTAGCATATATCCTAGTGTATATCCTAGTATATATCCTAGTAACAGGCCACTTTTTTTTTTTTCTTTTTTAACAAGGTATCTATAATCTGTGCTATGTGAGGGTAGTCAGGGTGCAGGCCTGTAATCAGACAGGTTCTGGTGGCAGAGCTACTTGTGTCTGGAAGGCTAATTTTTGGTTTGTTTTTTGTTAAATGCAGTTTTCCAGAGGTTTTACATCTGGCAATCATGGAACACATAGTTTAGTGCTGTCAATTTGGCTTTCATTTCAGTATCACTGCACTTTTGGTGAAGATCTTCAGCTGATTTTTTTGTCAGCTTTCATTGATAGCTTTTAGAGCAGGAAGAGAAAAGAGTAAATAACTGGAATAACAGTGGAGTTGTTTCTTTGTTTCTAATGTAAAATTTTATATGTAGAAGGAAAGCAGATAGGTCTTTACATGAGATAGCACTCAAAAGGCAGTTGTTGTTGATCAAGTTCTTTCCATAATAATTTCTGATGGAACACAATTTTTCATTCAGTTTGATCAGTACAGAATGGATGCAATACACGACAGTATATTTTAAAAGAACAATAGCAGAGAAGAAAGTTATGTACCATTAGAGTACCTCTAATCAGGGTGAAGGCCGATAACCAGAAGTGGCTGCAATAGTAGGAACTGAAAAATTTAAATATCTGCACAATGGTAGTGACAACACAACAAAAGGAAGAACTGCACAGTTAGCTTGCTTCATCGAGGCTTACCACACCCTGATTAAAACTGTCTTCCAAAGCAGGAATTAAAATATTTCTAGTGTCGAGGCATTTTCACTTTTTTATTTCTGTGTGTCCACTTTTTGTATTGGCACTATCTGTGGCTTATTTCTGATGCTTTTGTAATTCCATATCAAAGAGGAGATACCTGATGTTGCTTGAGGGGTTGTTCTGTTCCTGCTTATTATGCTTTTGCTAGATAATGAGTTTGTTGCTGAAAGAGCATGGTCTTCAGAACTATAGCAGCAAGAGGGTAAATTTCAGAATTGTATTGCCTTTTAAGAAAGAGGACTTCTGCAACAGTTGGTGGAGTTCCTTTTTTTTTAAGGTTGCCACTACACTAAAGAAAAATTTTAAACATATGCTGTCTGCTTTTTTTTTTTTTTAAAAAGAGAAGTAGACATCACTGATTTTTAATTTTTCTTCCAAATGCTCAATCTCTATGTAAAAGTGCTTTTATAATGAAGTCTTCCGTTTGTTTGGAGGTAAAGAATATGCCTGTGAAAGAATGACATCTGTGGTACACAGAAAGACTCAGGGAAAGTACTATTTATTGTGGAGCTTTTTTCCCAATTTCCTAGGATTCACTTACGTATTCTCTTTAAAATCCCTTAATATTAAATGACCAAGGACTATGGGATGAATAATTTGCCTTCTTAATGGTTTGAAGCACTTTCTACTTTTTCATTTGTCCTCTTCATAAGTAAATATACCGGAGAATATAACAAACCCTGAAAAAAACTTCAAGGAGCAAGCATTAATTTCAAGAACTGTAATTTCACTCATATTTTGCATCCAGTAAATGTTTTAATGTTAACTGTTCTATTTTCCATTAGCTAGCAAAGCTACCTCAAAATGCTAAAGCATGCAGATAGCATAAGTGAAGGTGTACAAGGAGCTTTATTCCAATCTGTGTGTGCAGTTTAATCTGGCAGGGTTGATAAGGTTCTGTGTTTTATTGTATTAATTGCTGAGTTCTGTTTTCAGAATCAAATTGTTCACACTGAAATTTCCCAGTGTTTAAATCTGAATTATTTTACTGAAGTCTTCAACAGACATGGTGCAAGCATGTCTGGAAGTAATCTTGTCTGTGCATGACCCAAGACAAAACAATAATGCTATAAACCTAGAGTCACAGAAAATTAAAGAAACTGAAAGATTTCTTCGAGTACATTCTTCAACTCCACAGGAGAATCAGCTTTGTCAGAAAAGTTACAAGTATTTTGCAAAGGGTGTTTTTGTCTGCTTGTTGATTTTTGAAGTCTGAAAAAAGTTAATTTCTCTAATAGTTAGTTTTCAGTAACAAAATAAGCCAAACTATCAAGTTTTCCTTTATGATTCAAGTTGATCATAGTCATCTGTGGACTCTTAAGTACTTGTTGCCAAACTGTGTTTTACCATTGACATGATTTGTCTTAATCCAGTGTTGAAATTAAACTCACCTAACAGCAGAGTTCATAACTGGGATTAAAGGTGTTCTTTCTGCAATCGCTGGAAACACTATACCCTTTAATAGGGTTTACAGCTTTTTTTTTTTCCTGGTAGCATAGCAATGATTGCTGGACATTCAGAATGATGCTCTAATTTATCTGTAACCAGCTACAATGTAATGTGAATTGCTTCTAAAGAGGTTATTGAGTTAATGGTATGTTGAATATATCTGTTACTAAGAGTTTTTCTTTCTTTCTTTTAGTGTCATCTGCAGGAGTCTAGCCAAGAGCAACTATGGAATAAAAAGAAAATCACCACTACAAAATTTGCACCTTGTTTCCCGAAGTATACATCATCCCTACTATCCAAGTTCAAAATTTCAAAGGCCTCCCTTAAGGATATCCATTCAGCAGTTCTCTTCTCTTAATCGTCTTCCCTTTCACAAAACAAAACTTTTAAATGTAAAGTATGGATACCAGTCCTACAGGAACTTTTGGCTAGCTAGACTAGCATCAAGGCTTCTCAGAATTCGCTACATTATATTAGGATCTGCTGTAGGTGGTGGTTACACAGCTAAAAAGGTATTTATCTCTGGAGGATATTCAATGCATGTTTATTTTTGTTGTTACAGGTTTCAGAACACTAATTGTTGGTAATCCACAAAAATACAGAATCTCATTGTTCTGTTAACTAATGAAAAGAAAGACGAGTGAAATTGGAAAGCAGATTGTTGAGAGAACTAGTATAGATTTTAAAAGACCTGAATAATACAATACATATCTAAAAGATGGTGGGTTAGTATGCTTTATATGTAGGTACCGCTGTTCAGTAGATGGCTCATATGCTTCAAATATGCTCAAATGTGCATTTCTTCTATTTCTATTGTATTTTTTTCCTTTTTGTATTAGACATATGATCAGTGGAAGGACATGATGCCTGATCTTGATGATTATAAGTGGATTGTACCTGACTTCATCTGGGAGCTTGACGAACATATTGACTTCGGTATCACAAATGCTAAAATGTTATACTAGCACATACGCAACTTAAACACAAGGGTGTGGTTCTTAGTGCCTGGCTCCAATGTAATAGTAGTGTTATAGCTGTAATTCGGGTGAGCTTGTATTGTTAAAGAGTTTGGGGTATGTCATACCAAACTAGTTATATCATTCTGTTTGTCTGAAGAAATTAAGCATTATTTAGCATTGAAGTTCCATAATTTAGCTTTTCATTTGAGAACATTCTCGGTCCTTTCTTTTGTCATGTACTGCTGTTATTCAAAGCACACTTCCAGCATGAGCAAGGGGACAAGTTTTGGCACTATTATGCACAAGGTTCTCTCCATATGAATGAGTAACAAATAAAAATATAATTAGACAAGTAGAAAGTAGGTATAATTAAACAATTAATTGAAAACACAGGAATTTATAGAAATATCTGCAAAATTATCTTGAAGATGCAGAGTAAAGAAAAATATAGATTTTATTTTCCTGAACCTTCTAGTTACATTAGATTTCTTGCATATTCTCAGAAGTCTAAAAAACAATCAGTTACCTGTTATATATGAGAATAGTTAGGTAGTGTTCTTTTAAAAAACGTTTGTGAACATTTCCACTATGTGTTTGAGCATTGCATTGAAGTGAGACAAGTGTTTTTTTTCTGTGATTGCTAGTGAACACTATGTTTTTATAATACTCTCAAATTAATAATGTTGGTGGTTTTTTGAAACAACTGCAGAATTGGGTTATTTATGAAATTGAAAAATAAGTTTTTCTTAAAACATATAGCATAGATATGCCGTCCTATAATTTAAAAAACATTGTTTCTGAAGTATGTGAGGCAATGCATGAAATGTGGTGAACTGCAAAAATTAAGTTGTACAGAATTTAAAGTACATAAGGCAGCCAAATTATCAGAAAGTTCAAAGTCTAAAAAAGCAGTTGGTTTTTCAGATCTGATATTCTTTCCCAACA